GCTTTCTAAACTTCTGCAACTTCTGAACAAGAAGACAACGGCAGGGGCAGAAGGGCTTATTTGGGTAGGTCGATTGTGACCGCGCCTAGGATTAGGGTTTAGGGTATAGGGTTTGGGGTTTGGGGTTTTAGGGTTTAGGGTTATTAGTAGTGGCAGCAGTAGTAGCAGTATAGCAGTGGTAGCATTCGTGGTAGTCGTAGTTGCGGTCCAGTCGTCGTTGCGACCGTAGTCGTGCTCGTAGTGCTCGTAGTGGTAGTAGTAGCAGCAGCAGCAGGAGGAGCAGGAGTAGGAGTAGGAGCAGGCTTATGAGTAGGATCAGGAGCAGGCGTAGGAGTAGGAGCAGGAGATAGCAGGAGTATGGGGTAGGGGCAGGGAGTCGAACAGGGTCAGAAGCAGGAGGGAGGAGGAGTAGGAGGAGGAGCAGGAGGACAAGGAGTAGGAGTAGGGCGTAGGAGTAGGGGATGGTGCACCCTCAGACCACAACCTGAAGCCCCGAAGCCGTGCCAGGCAGGAGAAGGGGCTCGAGCAAGTGAGCCTCGCCAGATGTCCGCTGCAAGCTTAGGTTATTCAGAAAGCTTCAAGGTCTTGGGGGATGATCGCCAAGTGGTCTCATCACCCATGTAGCTTCAGTGTGAGCGGCTGGGCGTGCGAAAGATATGAGTTCTCGTGGAATGGATGAGGAGATGTCACGGAGATGTTGCTTGCGTTCCATCCCGGAACTGGCTCACTAAACAGGTGCCGGGAAAAAGGGTTCCTAAACTGGGGTTATATGAGAGGCTTCCGAAAAAACAGAGGTTACCCTTACTATAATCACTATAAGTAACCATGCGGGTTCGAGAATGCTCCCGGAAGCTCAGACTGAAGATCGAGGCCTTTGTATGTCCGAAGTCGAGGGATGAGATTGGCAAGCACGAAGAGTAGATGAGCCTGGTGAGCCGTGAAGCCCAGGCGCTACAGGCATGACTTTCCGAAACTGTGAACCCGAACCCAAAGCCCCCTAACCCCGAACCCTTTACCCCAAACTCCAAAGCCGAAGCCCTGAACCCAAGGCTTTCTTAATAGCTGCGACATGCGCAATGGCTTTTGCTGTCGCTCGCTGCCGAGTCCGTACTTAGTGCAAATGACAAGGCTTGTAGCGTTTTATGAGGCTTTCAAGGGTGCGGTATAGTCTAAAGTGTTTCACGAGGGTTGTGGGGTAGTTGCTGTGAGAGGCATCTTCACTTTGGCAATCTTGCTGTTGAAGTTCTAGCTTTGGCCCGAAACATTCGCTCTACCAACACCGCTGCCAGCGCAACTGTCATTGATGCCTGTGCAACCCGCCGCGTGCACCATTCATCCCGAGTCGACTTTTCTTATGACTCATGAGGCTACTTGCCTCCGTCTTCTAAGAAGACGGACGTCTCGGCTTCAAAGAGACACTTGCCCGGACCCATCTGTCAAGCGACATGTCGGGACACAGAGAAATCGAAGCTGCACAGTGGGTTCGGCAGCGTGGGCTTTCAGCTTTATTTACTCACAAAGCAGCAGCACCCCTGAGCCACCTTGAACTAAGATCAAAGTCGTGGAGTTCCGTGTTGCTACAGGGTGTGTTGCCCGCATGATTGATGCCCAGAGACCACACTGGGTTGTCAAGATTGATTTCATCCAGTTATCCTGTCTGATGCTGAGAAAGCTGTTTTGCGTGAGAGGTCACCGAAACAAAGTCAGTCACATATCGTATGGCAAGTCCAGCATCAGCTGCCAGCGCGAGCACCACGGGATTCTTTAAGAGAATCCTTCGAATCCGATTGCACTGCGAGGGAGGGATATCAAGCAGCGTTGCAACAGCAAGTGCGCTGTGTCTGCATGAGCCCGGCTCCCCGATAACTTCCCACTCGCCTGTTTGCCTTTTTAGTCTGGAGCTCTGGACTCCTTGTCCAAGCCATGTGCATCGAAGAATGAGATCAAAGCTCCTGAATCTGGCAACGGAGATACTCTCTCCGATCACTACGACGCCAAGTGCCGGGCGAGCTGCAGTGGCCAGCACAATCAATTAAAACCCGAAGCCTTGAACAGCTCAAATCAAAAAGCCCTAAACCCCTAAACTCTGCCGGACCCTACCTCCACAGCCATATCCGAAGCTGGCCTTGCAGCATGGGGTTGACCAAGGCCGCGAGGTCCCAAGTATGGGTCTCTTTCTTATTAGAGGGCTCCTCGCAGCTCGAAGGCTGCGAGCTCTCGACACCCCAAGTGCTGGACTTCGGACCTAAGGGCCCGCTGAACAAAAGGCGACGGCGCCTCCGGGTTTTGCGGTTTGGGGTTTGGGGTTCCTTCTTGGTGCTGCTTGTGTTTTTCCATCATACTGTCATAAAACCAGAAATGCTGGTGCTGTTTTCCTTCGAGTTCGTGTCAACAATAAAATCCTTGGGGTTACCGTCTGTCATGCTTGGCGTTGCGATGATCAGGTGCTTCTGCCAGGAGCCCGTATCTGTCTGGGGAAATCGCACGGGGAACGTTTTCTGCCTCTGCTCAAGCGGGGAGAAGCACAGAAGACATAAAAGAAGGACTGCGGACTCATTGAACTTTGTCGTGATCCGTGCATTGATCATTCTATCATACACTACTATAGTTACGCTACTACAATTGCCCGTCTCGTCATCATCATCTGCACATCGTGATGGTGCTTGTCAGCAGTAAGGTTTAGATGGTGATGTTTGTGACTGGAGGGTTCGGGATCTTAGCTGTGACGGTTCTCCTAGTCCTTGGGCAGATGCGCTGAATCGGCCGCTCTGATGGAGTGTGGATCTCAGTGTCATCCACGCACACGTTGGTTTCATGGCTTTGGGTCACCAGCTTCTCCTTCCAAAAGCCGTGCAGCGAGGTCCTTCCTTCGTGCGGTGGGTCTTGCCCCATCCGAAGGGACTCCGCTATGTGAAATGCTCCTTGGCTTCGAGCTTTCTATACGTATGTAGAGTCCTGAATCCTGCGTTTCTCCCGTTGTACAGTATCTACCTGACAGCCTTGAACACTGCGCTGTGCATGCTTGTGATATTTATCTCTCTGAGTGCACAGAAAGCAAGTTAAACAGTTCATATTCAAAGCAAATGAGAAAGTTTTGCACTTTGGCAATTAGCATTGTCCTCGTCGTCGGGGTCGTCCACTTTGGCAGTGTCGCATTCGGTACGCTCGTCACAGTGGCAGTACGTCTGAAACTGGCAGCAGATTCGGGAGGGAGCAAGACCATTAAGGGCATAGTGTCGGTGGTGTTTGTGGTGTCGCTGGCGGCGTGGGGGTGGAGGTCGTCGTGGTAGTTGTCGTAGTCGGTCGTCATAGCCGGAGGAGGAGTATAGGAGTTGCCCGTTTGCGATGCTCATGTGCTTCGGTCTTAGGGAAGGCATCACGGAGCATCAGGTAGTAGAAGTCTTTGTAGTAGTAGCAGTCGTCGTCGTCGTCATCGTCGTTGTCGTCGCGGTCGTAGTCCTATGTCGTAGTCAGTGTAGGAGGAGCCGCAGCGGTAGGCGGCGGCACTGGTAGTAGAAGTGTTCGTAGAAGTAGATGTAGTAGGACAGGCGCAGGAGGAGGTTTCGGGATGGGGAAGATCAGGAGTTGCCAATCGTTGTCAGATGAAGTAACCCGAATTGGTCCCCCTAAGGCCAGTGGCGTCGCGACGGAGGCCAAGCTCAGCCTTTGCCTCAGATCTTCGCCTTAAATCCGGGGACTCTGGGAGTTTTGGGAAAGCTGAGGGTCTCTGGTCCGAGGACTTTAGTTTGAGGGCCGAAGGTTCTTGCTAAACGGTTACACACTGGCAGAAGCATGAAATCTCAAGGCTCTTGCCTGTGTCTTTTGCTAGTCATGACCGCATAGGAGACGTTCCAGATCTTGCAAGCCAAGCCTTTCATTGTGGCGTTGCAGATTAGGCCCCTTTGACGGCTTTGATGCGTTCATTTTAAAAAGAAGCCCCACATCACAGACCCGAACGTCTGCCTAGCCATCAGTTTCCAACCTCCAAAGTTCCGCCGAAGAAAACCCGACCACTTTTTGGTTCCATGAAATCCGTCCAACTTCCCAGGATATATAAGTTTTTGGAGTTGCAGTTAGGTCCCTCCAAGTGTTAAGCCGAGGTGTACACACAGAGGGTCCCGAATCCTTTGATGTCAGCTCCAAGAGGGTTAAGTCTTGGCATTTTGGGGCGTCGGGCAGGGATGCGAAACGATAAGTGCAAGGGCTCTTAAGTTCTGCAGCCACATTGTAGTATGGGGACACCCACGAACTGCGCTCACTGCCCCCGACATCATCCAGCCGCAAGCCTAAGCCTAAGCTAAGGCGGATCGAAGGGCCTTGTCCCTGCAGGCGGGTGTTTGAAGCCATCCTCTGTGCTTCATGCTGTTGGCTTTCGAACGGATGTGGGAAGCAAAGTGAGAAACGCCCGGAATCTTGCACGTCCTCATCATCCTCGCATCATGCAGTCATCGTCTTAGTCATTGTCATCGTCACCGTCGCATGACAGCTGAACTCAAGTTACATTATGTGTAACTAAGTCATGCATAAAACCCACCACAAACCCCATTTTCATAGCGGCGGACCCCTTATATCACACAACCTTTCAAGCATTGTGCGTCTGCCAGCTGGGCTTTGAATCCGTAACACCGTTATGCACTAAGCTCTCAATAGAAGCCATAACCCCAAACCCTAGAACCTTAAAGGAGCCCTTGTAGAAGCCTAAGAGGAATCCTCATGGAACTCTTAAGGGATCCTAAGCCCTAAACCCAGGAACCCTTAAGGAATCCTTGCAGAACCCTAAACCCTGAACCCTTAACCGACAAGAACCTGTGCAGAACCCTCGACCCTCGAACCCCTAAAGGAGTCCTGACTGAACCCTCAACCCTAAACCGACAGCTGATCCTTAAGGGAATCCTTTCAGAACCCTAAACCCTGGATCCCTTAACTTAAAAATCCTTCGAGGAGCCCCTTAACAGGAGCCCTATTCTAGCCAGGACCCCCCCCCCCCTTTTTTTGAACCCCACAGAAGCAAGTTTCGGAAGGAGCTCCGGGACCTACTTCCCGACCTCGCGGGCGTGGCTGCCGGCACCGAACCGGGGATCCTCTCCCTCGAGGATGGCCCTGGGTCGGGGTTTTGAGAGGGTGCTATGGGGCTTAATAGGGTTCGGCTAGTTTTTGTTTTTGGGTGGGTTTTGTAGGGTTCAATGGAGTTTGGTATGGCTTTTGAGAGGGTTTTGGTAGGGGTTAGATGGGGGTGTATAGGGTTTGCGCTTGCAGGGTTCCAAAGAAGGGCGTCTGAGCGTTTTTCGATTTTGGGCTTTAGGGCTTCTATGCCTCCAGAATCTGGAACGGTCTGCTTATGAAGGTCCTGTCAGAGTTTTACTTGGGGACTGTATTGTGTTCGCGGTCCGTATTTCCAAGCCAAAAGCCCCTGAGTCGATGAGTCTCCGAAGCCCCAAAGCCCCAAATCCCAAGCCTAAGCCCTAAGCACTCAAAGAAGGACGAAGCTCGGAGTTTGGAATATCTCGCTCCCAAGGAGGCCTCAGGGGGACTGGATTTAGGAGGTCAAGAGGGTTCGAGGTTGCGAACAGAGCATGCTGTCAATGCCATGGATGCCGGCAGGTTTGGCTGAGATGTGGGTTTTCAGATTTCCAGGATGAAGATGATGTTGCTACTGGGACTACGACGTTCACAACAACAGCAGCAAGAACAACAAGAAGAACAAGAGTACCATCAGGGCTAGGGCTGCCAGGGAAAGATTTAATCATGGAGTTGGTGCTTCTGCTGCAGCTAGTAAGAGCGAGGACATCAGATACATGAATGTGTGTGTATATATAAAGATAGAAAGATAGATGGCTATATATGGAGAGAGACACAGATAGGTACAGTGGTAGTCATTGCCAGCCGGTTGACCTGCGGTTCCGATCCCTTTTGTGATGTTTTTTCGCTGTGCATCTTTCTCTGATTTACTCTGCCATGCGAGTGTTCCTCGAGTTTCTGCAGCCACTTGCTTTTGCCGTGGGTGTTTTGCAAGCGTTTTGTTTTTGCTTGCTTCGTGTCCAGAACTCGATTTTTGCGAGTTTTTCCCAGGATTTTATGCTGGAGCTGCCGTTCTCGCTGGGTTGGACCGATGATGCCTTCATTTTTGACTTTTTCCAGTCTTGCTTATTTTTAATTTGTTTTAATCCATTCTGAGAGCAGAGAATCCATGGCCGCCATGGCGCAATCATAATGATGTCCATGGTCTATTCCTTGCTCCATGATGACGTCCGTGGTCTAACCCACTCTGAGAACAGAGCATCCATGTCCCAACCATGATGATGTCCATGCTCTAGTCCGTCCTGAGAACTGAGCATCCAGGGCCCCAACCATGATGAAGTCTATGGTCTCATCTTTGCAGCCGTTGACAGAATCCATGGCCCAATCAGCAATACTATGCAACTTTTCGCATCCCGTGCGTCTCAAACCACAGTCAGTACGAATAGTCTTGTCGCTTCGCAAGCCAGTGCCTCCTACCACGAGCTTGAAATCGTACGCGACCACTTCCCGAACACTAGTACCTAGCTTCACCAAACTATCAAGCTCGCCATGATACCTGGTCTGCAAGAAATTGGAGTCTTTCTTTGCATGCATACACAACTTTCTTCTGTAATTCCGGGCCTCTCCAAAATTAAGCCCTGCACGCGAAAGCAGGTATTATGGTGATGATTCAGAACGTTCTCCGGGAGTTCAAAGCCGATAGCACCAGCACTAGTCACATTGGTGGCAGTGAAACCCCAGCAAGTGGCAAAGGTAAGAGAGGCTACAACTGTACTGCTCATTGTTTCGTCAGCTGGCAAAAGCCGTAGCCCCTGACCTTTCTGTTAGTGTCGTGCTGGGCTGCCGGATCGGCAGGCACTGGAGCTGCTGCGGCGTTGGTCCGAGGCAAGAATCGTGTTGAGTGCACAGGGCATCGGAATGTCGGGGGTGTGCCGAATTCAGGCCACACTTCATCCTCGATGCTCAATGATACATGCTTCTCTGCGTGGCATCTTTCGTGCTCCATGAATGCTTCTGTTTAGATGCGTTCCTGAACATGTGCATGACTACTTCTTTTAAAGAGAAAACTTTCCAAATATGCATGTTGGAAACCGCTGCTGACATGGTTGCTTCCATATCCATAGCCCGCCAGAATCTGAAACTGAAAACGCCATTGTGGCCACTCCGATTGTTGGGCACCATATGATCAATGTCGGGCAGTTCCAAATAGCTGCTCCTCTGCTCCTATGATGACGCCAAAGCCAAGCAAACTTCAGATTTCCGGCAGAGGATGTAGTTCTACGCGAAGATCGAAGCTCGATGCCCCAGGAGACCAAGAAGCCACAAGTCCAACTCTCCGAATCCAAGAATCTGCAAGCTTTGGAACCTCTCAAGTCCGGGAGTCAAAAGGCCGGTATTTCGTATGTACGACATGTTCGAAGTTTGGCACGTCTTGGCAGATCAGTTTCGGTTTGCATGAAACGGCATATGCTTGCGGGTTTCGGGCTACTGCCGACACGAGCAAACATTTCGGAGGCTGCGGGAGAGTCAGGGAGCCTTCTGAAGCCTTCTGCCCTACTGAACCCCCTTTAACTCCTACATCCTTACCCCCCCAAGACCCTGGAGCCCCGCACCCCCAAACCCCCCCTTCCCCCACATCCTAAAGCCTGAACTCCCTAAACCCCCCAAGGTCCCCCAGCCCCGATCCCCTCTGGAGCAGGCTCTGAAGCGGCGAGCTCGGGCTGAGGAGTCCTTAGTCAGCTTCAAGGCTCATCTTCTCTTGTGGGCTTTAGGGTATTTTTAGGGTTCTATAATAGGGTGCTATAGTAGGATTCTATAATAGGGTGCTATAGTAGGGTTCTATAATAGGGTGCTATAATCGGGTTTTATAGTAGGGTTCTTTGATAAGGTTCTAGAGTAGGGTTTCATCGTAGGGTTCTATTGTAGGCTTTTTTGGTAGGATGCTATCGTAGGCTTTTATGGTAGGGTTCTAGAGTAAGGTTCTACAATAGGGTTCTACAATGGGGTTCCCTTCTCGGGTTCCTTGCACGGTGGGCCAAAAGCTGCGTGGTGTCGTGGGGCTTTAGGGGTATGGCTTCAGGCATTTTGTGAGTTTGTGGTTTCAGATGATGTGTAGAATCAGAATACAGTAGAGTGGAGAGATCCACCGCTTTTTTTCTCGCTGCTTGCTGAATTCTCTCTCATCCTGACAAGTGGCATGTCAATCTCCTCGCGTGAAGGCGATCAGATTTTAGAGGTTGCAGTCTGCGTACTGTGGGCAAGCAGCAGGTTCTCTCCAAAAGCTGTGAGCTTTCCCGAAAGGCTTGGCTGCCCCAGCTCTCGAAAGCAGCAGAGCCCCCAATGATAAAGCCGTGGAAGTCCGACGCTTCCCGGATTCGGGCTCGAGGGTCAGAATTTATCGGAGGCGCAGTTTCTTCGAAGCAATGCACTGGAAAAGGCGTTCCAGGCACGGCCGGTGTCCTTTGTGTACCCGTTTGCGACGCTCAGGTGCTTCGGTCCCAGGGAAGGCAACACGGACCATCAGGTAGTAGAAGTCTAAGTAGTAGTAGGAGTATGAGGAGTAGTCGTCGTGGTCGTAGTCATCCTCGTAGAGTCCTAGTCGTAGTCGTAGTCGTAGTAGTCGTTGTCGTAATCGTAATAGCAGTGGTGGTGGTAGTGGTGGTGGTGGTGGTGGCAGTAGTAGTAGTGGTAGTAGTAGTAGTAGTAGTAGTAGTAGCAGTAGTAGTAGTAGTAGTAGTAGTAGTAGTAGTAGTCAGTCGTAGTAGTAGTAGTAGT